GAGAGAGAAATGCCATTAAGCTTACAAAAAGCTCTTCTTTAGGACCTGCAATTTCCTACAGAGAGCAGAGAGTGACCACAGTAAGGAGAGAGCTCAGGAAGCTATAGTGAGCCAGAGGCTCCTGGAGGGAAGACCCTGAGAACCATGAAATCATTCCAGTTTGGAAGGGCTGGGAGTAGAACGCTAAGGTAGGAAGAACTCTCACCAGATCAGAGGAGTCTGGGTTGTACTCAGCGGCAGGCTGGAGGAAGGCTTGTCTTTATCTTAAAATTCTGAACTAGTGACTCAGACACTAAGTTGTGAATAGACTGTGGAAATCTGGTGGGGAGTATTTGGGAGAGCTAAGAAGGGAAACAGAAGAGGAAGCAATCTGCAGGCCTCCTCTGTTTGTACTGTGGCCACCAGGAGGTGGTGCTGTGAGGTGGCCACTCATCTGCACAGCCCTTCAACTCTTACTCTTGTAAACCCAGCAGGTAGACCACTACTCAATAGCTTCCTTCTCCCCCTCTCTGCATCCTCAGGAGTGGTGATTGGTCACTCTCAGCCAAAGGAAGTGCTTTTAGGTACTAGTCTTAATGACTTTTAACTAATATCCAATATATATCCGCATGCTACACAGAGAAATGGTTTTCCTGAAAGACTTATAAGCTCAAATTTTCTGCCCACTGTTTCATTGCTAGCAAACAGAGCTGTGCAGATCCAAGATTCAAAACCATTGATCAGGCTTTTAAAAAAAGAAATGCATGCAATTTATTCCCCTAAAAACCTCATGACTAAGTATTAATTTTGAATCATTTTTTGACTATGCTGAGGAAAGAGACAAGTAGGTTTAATGTACAGCAGCATAATTAATCACAGTTAATTGACTATTTTTAATGCAGCCATTTCGCTCCCTTTAGTGTAATATGTGAAGTAGCATTTTTGTTTGCTTCTTTGCTTAGGCTGTTTTTAACTAGTTATTACCTTTTGTTTGTTTGTAGATGTTTAGTTGAAGCCCTGTTACATACCATGATGTTTTTTCACTTGCATCTATGCAATAGAGCGACATGCCGGAAAGAAAATACAGATGAATTCTCTAATGAGATCCAGCCACACTGTTACTCAGGTGGTATATAAGGTGTAGTCAGCTGAAGACAAATTCCCAGCAGAGAATCTTCCCCCCCTCCCAGTGTAAAAGAAATGCCAGCCACGTGTAACTGGCAGATCTTCGTCTGTACCCCTGGGGTCCATACCTAGCAAGGGGCTATACTGAGGGAGGAGGGTGCATTGTAGAACTCAGCTCTGCTACACCAATCCTTTGCACTGGCATGGGATTAATTTGAGATCCTATAAGCAGTGGCACAAGCTAGAGCTGTCCTACAGCAACCATAAGTTGCCTTGAGGCTAGCTGGCAGAATCAGGGGGGTGA